TCCCTACTTGCCTCTCAACACACGCTTTTGACATAAACTGTAGTTTGTGAAAAGACCTCGAGGGTAGTTTTGTATCTGTTGGTCTTTGTGAGAAGGAAGGGGAAAAACTGGCAAGTAATGCCACACCTTTCTGTCCAGAAGCATTGTTCTCACATTCAGGCCATCTTGGCTGTGTACCCATAGATACTTTCCTTTTCAAAATAGGAGTCATCTTAAAGACTGCTTTGCATTTGATACTCTGCATCGGAGATCATCTTAGCACAGGCCTGAGCACAGTCATGAAACAGTTACTTCTTTGTTTACATGATGTAGAGGAAGTTAATTGGTAACTTCAGCATATTACAAAAGAAATTCTATTTTTTCAGTGTAAATAGAATTTAGCTTTACAAATCCTTACAAGTGGTGCTCACAAGTGATCTTAACTGTGCTACTCTTAACTCCTGCACTGCTGTCTGTAGTGCAAAATAGTTTCATTTAGCCCATTAATGTGGGGTTTTTTTCCGAGATGTTGTTTTTCATCTTAGATTTAGTTAGAAAAATTCTCCCTGTTTCAGAAATAGTTTTGACATTCATCTTTGCATTTTTATGAAGTGACCATATAAATTCATATTAATTAGATGAAAGTTGCCGTTGTCTACACCTACATGCAAGGCGTGCTGTCTTGCCATTTGTTGATATATCTGAACATGATATAAGATTCGTGTTGACTCCTGTCAGTCTTTTAGAATGTTACCAACTCATATAAATGGGCTTTTTATTTTCACTGTATCATGATACCTAAACCAGTCTGTTTTCCTTTGTCAGTGTAAGTGTCCATCCTGAAGGAAGTGTCAGCGAGCAGACTTTTCTTAGTACAGCAGTATCACTAAAGCTTATGCATATGAAATTTTTGAGGATGCTTATGCCATCCCATTTTAATAATAATAAATAATTTAAGGGCAACAACGGAAAATGAAAACATCTATTCCTCAGTACTGTGTGGTTTTCTTGGGAGCCAAGATGGGGGAGGCCTCTCTAGGGCTTCGCAGATATAAATCAGATGCAAAACACAGTTTAGAGTTCTCTGTCTGTCTCTTCTGTCATGCAGTGTGGTAACCTCAACATGTTATTTCTATTCCAGAGAGGCCAAACACAGTCTCCACCACCCCCAAAACCTCCGTCTCCTAGCTTCGAATTGGGTTTATCTAGCTTTCCTCCATTACCTGGGGCTGCTGGCAATTTAAAGACCGAAGACCTTTTTGAAAACAGACTGTCCAGTGTGGTAATAGGAACATCAAAAGAAAGAGTGAGTAGTCAGTGTTCCTTTTTGTGGGGAAAACAAAGAACTGCATACCTCTTGTTTTCAGGTTTGGCTGCTTATGCATACGAAAACCTTGTGATTTTACATGGGTCATAAGAAAATGCTTTTTAAAAAACAGCTGTCAAATGATGTGCCCCTACCTTCTTTACTTATATCTTAGAATCTATTGGGTGTTCTCTTTGAAATGGTGTGAAATATGAGCACCGGTGTAAGTAGATGTTAATAGCAGAGATTAGAAAATATGCTCTTTGCTGTTCATAATTGCCTCAGGCTGTTTGATAGCCTCAGGTGAAAAACGTGGTAAACTTTCCTCCTGCTGGGTTGTATAAAAAAAAAAAAAAGCTTTCAAGTTGCAGAGACAAACTTTTGAGCACTGAAACGTAAAGAAGCTGCCCACATAATCTCAGTACACTAGGCATCATAGCTGGAACAAGAACTGTTACCAAAACCAGCTGAATTCCAGCATTGTCTTGTCATACTGCTTCAAAAGACAAAAATACACCAGAATGACGTGGCAACCACTGCCTTCTAGATGTAGTAGAGGTGCAGTTGAAAACTAACATTCAGTAGCTGTTCGTAGATTTCATTCTTAAAACTGCCTCTGCCATGAGTGACAGTATGTTCTTCTCCATCAAGACTCATATAACCCTGTGCACTATGGGACAGTCTAGGCTGTGGAAGCCTCTATTAGCTTTTTTTTGCTGGCTTTAATTTAACTTGTGTTGTTCCAGCTGCACCACAACTGAGGAAGTTAACCCCTGGATATGCCAAAATCTGTCTTTTGTGTTTAATCTCTAAAACCAGTCTACTGCAGAAGCATTTTCTTTGGTGCACGTGTATCAGGGGTGGGTGGGGAGGGTTTCTGTTGGTAAAGGAAAGAGGAAGCGGCAGGGCAGCCTGCGCTTGAGGCAGTGATCGCGCAGATGAGCTGTCGATTCTGTCTCCTGCAAGCGGTGATAGGGACAGCTACATTCCTGGGTTGCATTTAGGGGGATTGTGCAGGACGGTGCCATGTAAGAGCAGTGTTTAACTTGCTGTCAGCCAGTACTCGAGATTGTAGTCTGTTCTTGGCCAAGATCGATCTATTTTTAAAGTATTTTACCTCTGTTATTTCTAACTTTTGTATTTCAGGTTTTGAATATAATTCCAGCACTTGCTAATGATACTGCAGCTGAAAACCCATCACTCCTCCCATTATAAATCTATACTTGCTTTGCACTGTACTTACTGTAAAGAACTTCTACTTCTCCCCTGTAGAAGCAGTCTTAATATTAGTCAGGCGCTGAGGTTTTATGATAGTGCAATGCATTGTCGTCTTAAAAAGCTTCCTTTGATTTCCCAATTTCTTTTTCTGGCTTGCATGAGTTTGTACCTTGTATGTGGAAGAAAGGGATGACGCTGCCTTTCCTCGTTGGCATTAATAAGGAGTAAGATAACAGCAGCTGGCTCCGAAGAGTGATTGTGTTCTGCTACAAAGGTGTTTGAGTTAGCATTAGAATCTTGCCAATGTATACAGGCTGCTTTTCAACTTGATCTCAACATTTTTTTCATGTCACCTGATGTAGAGTTACAAAGTGCTGAAATAGTTACACAGTGCTACTCTTGTTTTATAGGTGGGCCAGTCTGGTGTACAGAAGCTGAGTGAACTTAGGTTGTATAATTTCAAACAGTTGTTATCCAAGCATCGTATCTTTACACTCTTTGCTTTGCAGTGCTCTTCTAGATGTAGCTCTGGGGAATGGCAGGTGTTAATCATCCCATATTTTCAAACTAGGAAACTGCAGTGCTGTCAGATCAGGGGCTGAGTGTTTAGGCCTAGGAACAGCACTTGCATCTCTGCTTGACCTGAAGCTATTCACGCGTAACCAGGTACCTACAAGTTTTGATGAACTTGGGCTAGAATACAGAAAACATAGAATGGTTATAAATGTCAGAAATACGTTTTTCAAGACACAAAGTTGTCTTTCTCTTTTCTTATTTTGTGGCAATTTTAAATTCATGCATGCATCTCGCCCTATTTGGCCATTATCTGGAAGCACAGTATCACTTGACACTAGCAGAATCTTTTGAGGGCTATAAAAACCTCTTTCACTTGGTAGCAGATCACACTACAGCAAAAGAAAGGGACTTTTAAATGATGGTCATGGCCTAGTTTGCAAAAACTTCAGGTGTTTGGTTTGGTTTGGGTTGTTTTTTTTAAGGTTAGGGGTTTTGTAACACCAGCTATTGGGATGATGCAGAGTTAGAGCTTTGAAGAGGACAGTTCTTAGTGCATAACTCTAGGAGACTTCTGCCTTAATAGGCTAACTATGGTTATGTGAACAAGCACAAAGCCTACTTTGTCACCAGCAGGTGCAAAATTCCCAGGTTGAAAGAAGTGATTTGTCACCCAGAGATGTCCCAAAGGGAACTAAGCCTCCAGATTTTTGGAGAAGAGCCACAGTGTGTGATTTATTTTTCGGTGTTTCTAAATAATTGTAAAGGAGAAAAAAAACCTTACTTGTTACAATACGTACATTGGATCCTTCTGTATCTTCCTGTAGTTAATTTACCCTTATGAATCAACTTGTAAACTGTTTCCTGATGGTGTTAATTTTCAGGCAAACCATATTAATTGGATATTATGATTGCCCTTCTGTGCCTTTTTTCATCTTTCAGAACATTAATGTGGATGCAAGTACAAACACTATTCCATCAGGAATTCCTCGAGAGCCATTGTTGCCAGTTTCTTCTACATTGCCCAGGACGTTTGAAAGGTCTCCTTCGCCATCCCAGTCTTCTGAGTAAGTACTTAATTACGTGTCTCTAATTATTCCGCTCTGAATCACATTTGCGTTTTCTGTCATCAGAAAGCTAGGTGGAATGCTGTAAATAGCTATTAAAATTTTAAGCAATGAAAGAAATAATATTTTGTGGTAAAAGCAATAAAGCTTAATTTCTGAACAATATCGCAATAGTGATCCAGTCATAATAGTCATTCAGCAGCCAAATTTAGTGTTGTGTGTTAGTTTCTGTGAGTATTTAAAAGTTTACTGAATACATTAATGTCTTGTATTTTGATAGCTTTGAAGCAGAGAGAGTAAACCCATCATCTTGTGGGCAGTACTGTTGTCCATACAACAAATAAAGTTTTCAGTAAGACTTTATTTGGAACCTGCAAATCAAATTGAGGTGTTTGCCTAACTGGAGTAAGATAACTGAATAACCAAATGCCATTAGAATGTCACAAATTACAGGTAGTGTTGAATTCCACAGGAATAACTTTGTAAAATATTTGATAGCATTTTTAAATGCAAGGCTAGTCATAGTGTGTTAGGCAAATAGACCCATTAGCAGATCGTTCATCTGTCCTGAAGTTTCACTTTTCATGAGCCTTGCTTCCTGCTGGATGCTTACAGGGACTCCAAGGTTGTGGATAAACAGCAGAGAGAGACACAGAGTACAGAAAGGCTTTCTTCTTCCACACTCAGTACTGCATGTAAATCGGTACAAGTCAATGGGGCTGCCATAGTAAGTGACCTTATTACTTCACTTTCTCTTAACGATCCAGTTTGATGCATTTAACAGATTATTGCTTGCGTTGCTACCCAGTGTTGCTTAATCCTGTGAGCCCATCATCCCTAAATCTGTGTGTTGGTGGCCTCATGGTTACTTGCATGATACAATTATGCAGTTAACAGTGTAAAAGTATTCAAGATAACTTGGTGAATTACGGCTCTTTATCTGAATTCTCTTGGTAGCATCCTTGAGGTAGAAGCATTAATATATTTGCTGATATTTAAACCATTGTCTTTCGCCTGCTTTAGAGTTTGCTTGAATCGGAAATATTTTGCCCTATCACAGTATCCCATTTTTCTGGCATACTGCTTTACCTCTTACCTTGTCTTGAACCTTATTGTCTGTGCAGCTTCTGTGAACTACATGCTCAACCCCTCATCGGCGTATTTTAGTCTTGGGGAACAAAGACTTTACCTTTTTTGTTCATAAAAGTAAATGGTTTTTCACCAGAATGCTTTGTTTAACTCTGCTGTCCTGTTTGCTTTTGATTTCACAGGAACTGCGAAAACCTAGTTATGCAGAAATTTGCCAGAGAACAACTAAGGATCCTCCTGCGTTGCAACCCCAGAAAGAACAGAAGCCAAACACTGTAGCATGTGGGAAAGAAGAAAGAAAGCCCACAGAAACAATAGAGAAAAACAGAGAACCTCCTCCTGCAAAGTCACATCCTGGACAACCCAAAGACCAGAGGAGACAGTCAGGACGCAGATCGTCCCCTCCAGCCATTGGCAAACGCTTAAATAAAGAACAGAATACCCCTCCAAAATCTCCTCAGTGAAACTAACACCTGGGAGGGATTTGAAAAGAGGTCTGCTTCCCACAAATTAAACCCATGTTCCCACTAAGATACCTGAGAATGAGTTGCTGGTTAGGAGCTTGCAGTGATACTAGGCATATAACAATGCCTGCAAGTTATTTTTCTGTGAAATACTCTTTCCCCTCTTGAACAAACATTCTATTTTTTTCTGGATATTTCTGGATAGTTGTTCTAAACCTTACATTTAGGTTGGTGCTTAATTGGAGGTGAAGCTTAGTGTGATTATTTTTTTCAAGATGTAAAATATTTGTCTTTAAAAAAAACCAACTTTTTATTAAGCCGCTCCGTGGCTGTGTGAGTGCAAGCTCTGTATAGTGAGTTTTTTCTAAACTGTTAAGCAGAAATGTGCTGCTGCAATATTTTTAATAAACTGGTCTGCAAGTACATATCTGAAGTGTCCAAAAGACTGATATCGGCAGCTAGTGTGCAGGGTGCAAGGAAGCAGATACATTTTACGAATTAGTATGTGACCTTGAAGACTTTTTTTTTTTTTATTGGGCTGCTGTACTAAGTGTCAGCAAATGAACTTGCACTTTTAGGTTAAACGAGTAGTTGTTTCTAGTGTTTTTAAAAACTTAATCTTTTTTTGGTGTTTTGCACACACAGTATGAATCCTATGGAGCACCATAGCAGTCTTTCAAAAATACTTCCTTTTTTGACTTACTGCAAGCAAGTAACCATCTTCTCACTCCAGAATAAAACTGATGTTATAATTTGCAAATACAAAGCACATTGTGAATAGAAAGAATTAAGTCTGTGAGCTTCTATGGTGGTGAAGCCTGTTAGTGGGTGTTATCAGGAGAAAGCACTGTAGCCTTCTTGTGATAACCTTAGCTTCCCTGTGCTTGTAAGGGAGTTAACTGAGTCAGCGCTGTATGTTCTGGTTACCCCTGTGCTCTGTGTAGACTTTTTTTTAAACTGCCCCAAGTGCTCTTTGACAGAGTTCATATCTTAGTCAGCCTTGTGTTGACATCTTCCTGTAACTACAAGCATTGGCATACGGATTTAAATTTTTTCAAGACGTGAGATAATGGTGTTTGTTTTGTGTGGTGAAGGAAGAGATCCCTGATATTTACCTCTGGGATGAGGTTTCTCACACTTATTTACTTTAGAAGTGATGCGCTTTCTGAAGGACAAGGATGCACTAAATTAGCAAGTTTCTAATAAAGTTGAATATAAATTATTTTTGTTTTAAAATGCCTAAAGTTTTTCTTTAAGTGTTTAAACTGCAGGAAGTTCAGACAAAACTCATCCTGCTGACTATGACAGTACAGTTTATTCCACAAAAATGTTTATTTAAACAGCTGATTTTTTTAAAGAATTATTTCCATCCAATATTTAAAGACTTGAATTTTATTTAAACTTGAAAATGACTTTGCCTTAACTTTTGTACAAGACAGCTTAGAGTTAATGAGGTCTGACCCCGTGGAGGGTTAGCGTGAGTGGAATACAGAATTACTCAGTTACAGTATGTATCTATTGTCACTGGTCTTACTGGGTAAACATACTGTAGTACAGGAACTAGCAGCAGTTTTTGTAATATACCTTAAAGATCTTAAACAGTTGATCTTTTTCAGATTGTTGAAAAACCTGTAAATGCAAATAGTCAATACTGTATTAAATATGTGCACTTGGAAGTGTGTGCTTTGCTTGTACAGTTGTAAATAATCAGAACATATAAAAAGGTACCCTAAAGAAAAAATCTGATAAAAATTATTGATATTATAAATGTTGCTGTTGAGCTGGATGTAGATAAACTAAATGTTGTGGTTTGAATATTACTTTAATTTGTTGTTTTTTCTTTTTCTTATTTTATTCTGGTGTGCTGAACTGACTCTGCCTCTTCACTGCAAAAGGGAAATGGAACGAAAGTCTTATTTGAAAGCCCTCAAATGTTTTCCTGAGTCCCTCTAAAAACAAGCGATTTAACCAATTCAAGAGTGTTCTGCAATGTAAATAGTGAATTTCAGCAGTCAAACTGTAATTTTAAGTCATTAATAAAATCAGATTTAATTGGAGAAGAACTTTAGACTGCAACAAAAATATACACTGAAGCTTACTTGTCTGCTTTCAAGAATATCAGTGCTTTTCTTAGCATATGATTCCTAGAGCTGTAAAGTAACTATAGAAGTTGACTCCCGATGAGTTTCCTGTTACAAGCATCAATTGGTAACTAGTTGACCTTTTAAATCCAGCCTGTTGTATGCTGCAGAATTGGTCAAAATAGGGCATGCTGGAATCTGTTGTTTTTTCTTGTTTAAAAAGCGCACTTTGTGAATGCTGCGGGAGGAGATAGGACTCTGACAACATCCCCAAAACTGCTCAACTAGTTCTGCCACGAGATTTTTTAATATCCTTCTCCTTTCCCCAGCGGCAGTGAAAAAGGTGGCTAGGTTGGTGTATGGTTTAGGCCAGCTGTATGGTTCGTTGTGTTTGTCTGCTGCAAGGGGAAGGCTTACCAGCTGCCAACAATGGCAAGTGGTTCCTTACAGCGAGTGTGTACAGCGAGGCATGATGCTCCCCTGGTACCCGAGGTAACACGTGGAGACCAGCGGGACGCGTTGTGCTCTTCTGAAGTGTTCCGCTGCCGTTTGTGCGAGGTCAATACACTGTCATTGCTGCTTACCCAGCAACAGGCCCTTGCTTCGAAAGTTCCAACCTTCCTCTGATGTGTTTTTTATAGCTTTTTTTAAAAAGAAACAAGTGACCTGCCAAACAGCTGTGTAATGTACAACTGATCCTTCCTGCGTTTTACTTTGAGATTCTTTTTTTTCCCACTCAGTGACAAAATGGAGTTTTCGGAGTAGAATTGTGAAGTTGCATGCAGACTGTTGCTATGATACATAGAGATTAAAATGTGGCTTTTAAAATGAAAAACCTCCCAAAAGCAGTAGATGAGTTAAAGGTTCAGGGATGCGGTGATTAAAATTGGCATTTTACCTTGTAGGACTGTGGTGACACTTTTCATTTTGAAAACAAGTCAAAATGGCATCTGAGACTCCCAGAATTTAAAAAAAAGAAAAAAAAAAAAAAACAAGAAAAACAAAAAAACCAACAACACAAAACCAAAGGTTGCTTTTAAAACTTACTGTTGTTTCAGATCAGTCCCCCACTGTGACACTGTCATTTGCTGCTTAGAAATGTGTGAACAGTGGCAAATTTTTTATGTTGCTGCATTATCCTTCACAGACTTCGGCAGCTGGCATAGAGGGCCTTGTTGGCGTGTGGTGCGCTGTATCATGAGCAACAGCTGACTGTAATGGTGCATCCCTGTCTCTGGACCTCCTTCAGCTGGCTACGGTTAGGGGGGTTATGTGCTTTGTAACCTGTTACACTCATAGCAGCAGACAATCGAAGATTTCGAAGGAGACCTAACAGCTGCCAATTCACGAAATGGAAGTGTAATATGGGAGCCTTCTTGAGGGTTTTTGTTTTTGTTCTTCTTCCATTAAGACTGGAATCAAGCTTACATGTAAACTATCAGTAATTTAAGTTTCCTTTTGTGTCATAAAATGTAAAACTGTCTAATTTGAAAAAAAAAATATGTAGGTTATGAAAAATAAAGATTTAGGCACTGTTGAATTCCTGATTTTTTTAATTAAACCTTTCTTCAGCAGTATTTTTCATTATCTTTTGTCTTTTGCTCCCATTTTTGGAAATTGTATATTTCTGATTTTGGGAAAAACAAATCTTTGCTTGCTTTACTGTTCAGCACAGCTGTTGTAACCATCACCTAAGGCTATGTAGCAGCAAGAACAACTATAATGTAACGCTGAAGGCAGCATTATCTATTTCTGTTGGGTAACTATGGTTAACTTTTTTTAAAACAAAAAAACTGATGTGATGTTTTGTGTACTAGAGGTTATCCTAGTCAACAGTGGTTTCCTCAAATTATTAGATAAGGTGTTGCCTTAGTCTTAAATGTGGATGTTAATGTTTGGGTTAGTGCTTTGCTTGCATGGCTCTTGAATCTGGAGATGTCCTGGGATTGTTTTTGGCTTTGGCTGGTTTCAGAGGTTATCCTGGTCATGCCTCTAGGATAATAGAGCTCCCGGGATACCCTCCCTCTAAGTAAAGAGCTATTTTGGAAATACTTGAAAATCTTTTTTTTTTTTTTTTTTTTAGGTTTGTCTTTCAGCTGTATCTGACCAAGTTTAACAATGGACATAAGCATGGAAGCATTACCAAAAACTGTATTTTATAAGCATCTTGGGAACTGCTGCAGTATTACTCTTCAGGCTGGGTGTTCTGTAAGCTTCTGGACAGGTTAGACTGCTTGCTGCTTTATTTCCCCACCACTGTCTGCTCAACAGAGTAGGGCAACACGGGAACACCAGCATACACTGGGCACTGCAAGTTCCTCCATGTTAGAAAAATCAGTTAAACATTAGGCTGTGGTGGTGACATGGCTACAAGTAGCTGAAGACAACCATTTTTTTACTCCAGCATGGAGTATCCTGTTCTGCTCTGGGAACTCAGTTTTCTATTACTTAATGTGCAAAAATGCGTGGAAATTTGTCAGCAATGTTGCTGTAATCCTAGTGTGGCTCTTCAGGACCACCCCAGCTTTGGCAGAAATCGGGGATTTATTTGTCCATGCGACAGAATTGGGCAGCACCCCCTTTGTACTTGTTTTCCCCAACACAGAGAGATGTGATGTCTGCACCAATGTTCATGTTGAACAAATTGTTTCATTTCCTCATGGGCATGAGGAGGAGGAGTGAATATAGAAGATTACATGCAGTTGAGTATCCAGAGATTACTTATTGTCACAGAAACTGACTCATTGCATTTTGATCTGAGGCTTCTTTAGAATGAAAGATTTTATGAAGTTTTAAGTTTTCTAATATGCTTTTACTTCACAAAGCTCTGGTAGGTAAAATCTCCTATTCTGATGATTATCGTGGCCAGGCTTTTATGAGTGCAACTGCTCAAGTCAGGGAAGTGATAGAATTTCAATTCTTACTGGTTCACAACTGCAGGTAACGTTCCCTGCTTTATTCCTGCCTTGGAGAGAAGCAGCGGTCCGGCAGCGTACAGCCCTGTGCCGCCCAGTGACAGTAGCCCAGTTACTGCGACATCCGCTCTCGGCACGGATGGACATCGAATTGTACGAAAGGTGTGACTCGAGTTGATCAAGCAGAAACTTGCTGCTGTGGAAGCGGTGTGCGGGATGCTGCTGCTGACCTGCAGTGCCAAACACGCACACAACGCCTGTGAGGAGGCTGGCCTGCCCGAGCTGTGCCAGGGCCTTCCTGCCTGGCGGCTCCCTCGCATCAGCACACTGGCCTGTCTGAAAAGCCACTGAGAGAGGGTTTTTCTTTTTGGAATAGGTCAGAAGCTGTTGTACCATCAGTGGAATGGAGGAAGGGACAGGAATACACAGTTGGTGCCCAGAGGAGACTGGTGTGGTGATGGTCCTGGCAGGGACAGTGTGTTCTATCAGCCGAAGCAAACGGATTATTTATTCAATTAGCTTATGAATCATGGAAGGTTAAAGGTCTTGGCTTAAACGTAGCCTTGCTTGCTGAGGTGAACATGGTTCAACACATCAAGCTCGGTCGGTTTTGAGCCTTATTTCTGCAATGGGGAGAAGGAGGGAGGAGGAAGGGTTTGGTTTTTGCTTTAGCCTTTTTGGTTAGTTTGTACAAGCTGTGAATGTGCTAAATCTTGAATCTGTCTCATGGTGATGGACTATCAGAAGTCTTTGTGCATTGTCTTGTCACAGCTGGTTTGGGAGCAGTTCACGCGTTTTGCCCTCCATTTTGCAAAACAGTACCTGCTGCGGGAAGGAAGTCTAAGATAAAATCGCCCCCTAATCTCTCTTAAATTCTCATTAGTTTGAAGAGCAAATTGCTTTGTGTGCTTGGGTTACACACGTACGGTGTGGAAGCCATCCTGCAGTCTGATAGCTTTACATCCCATTTACTGCATGCAGGCGGTGTCTGCAGAGTAGTAGTAAATCTACCATGGCTGAGGATACTGTGAGGAAGGAGGGATAAATGAGGGAATTTAGAGTTGTGAAACATGCCGAAGCTGGAAAGACCTATGAAATCTACGTGAATGGAATTATTGAGACATTTCATTAGGTATCTAATGTCTTCCAAAACTGGAGCCAAAGTCATATGTATGCTCTCCGTGCAG